TAATTAATGTAACATGTATTATATACAGATTGACATTCTTAAATGTGCATGGCTGCAGCTTTCAAAAATATGTATATGTATCTCTTAACTATTATCCTTTGGTTAAAATCCTTCTATCGAGCGTTTGAGCTGTAGATCTAGATTAAGATATCTAGGCATATTTACTGAGGAAGACAGGCTTGTAATCCGAGATGAACAATAATTTAACAAAAGTTACAAAACGTTCCGTGCACGTGGAAGATTTGTACATGGATTTATATGGAAAGTTATGTCATTAAGAAAAGGGTGTGTTTCTTTTTCGACGAATCTATAAGAGAGAAACTCATATACTAGGCTACCGCTAGGCCTATAATTAATATCCCTTTTGGATCAGATGTCGAACTGATAATGATGACATATAAATTATAATGATAATTGATATTGAAAAGTTTAGAATGTTAAAATTTCAGAAATGGTTAGTTAAGGGGGGGGGGGCCTATGTCGATACAACAAAATATATCAAACGAATCTCACCATGTTCAACGTTGTATGATAATCCAAACAATAATCCCAAACTGTGTTCATTTCCAAACGACGCGATGCCCTTGACTGTATCAAGATAAGGCTCATTCAGAAAACTACCAACTTCGAGCGGATAGTTGATCCTCCGCAACGCCAGAACGATGGGCCTGGACAAGCCTGAGAGTGCATGAGCTTTCCTGCCGCAATACATTGGTCGCTCCATCGTTTGAAGTTTTAGAAGTTGACAATGTATTGAAAACCCAAAATCTTGAATTTGCAATATTGCAGCTTCAATGGCACTCTATATGCATCTCTAAACTATATCCTTTGATTAAATTCCTTTTATCCAGCGTTTGAGCTGTAATAGACCTATGCTGCCCACATTATACTGAGGAGGCTGGTGCACGTGAGCTGTCAGCGCAGGCTTGTAATCCGAGATTACTAAAATTAATAAGTTACGGACTGGTCGTGCGCGCACTTGCACGTTAGATGATAATGTACTCAATCAATGGAAAGTGAAACAAATCCAGTGAGGAAGGCGAGTGATTCTTATTTTGACGATAAGGCCTAAACAAAAAAGAGATTGTATTACCCTTTGCGACCGACATAAACAATTAAAACTGAAAAATATCAGCCCAAAGAGAGAGAAAAAAAAGTAAAACAAAAGAATTCCGACCGACCGACCAATGTTTTGGCACCCAAAGTAAAGGGCAATATGCCTACAACATCTCTTCGTTTTTTGGTCTAAAATCGAAGAAGTGAACAGAACAAGTAACACGTAACAAGCCTTTGTGGGAGGGTTGAGGGTAGGTAAGCAACCAATTAACAGGCTTTTTTTTTTTTTTTTACCTAATAGCAAACAATTCTAAAATTAAGAAGAAAAATCAGAGAAGCAGACTAGGGAAAGTATGAACGAATACTGAGAACAAAATGAAAAATTATGAATTTTTGAGAGTTGAATAATCACTAATTAGGGGTTAGCTCATCGTTTTTGCCCCCAAAATAAAAATTTCCCCTTTGTTTATTTGGTAAAATTAAAAATCCCGGAACATCATCAGCTCGGTAAAACCCCAATTATAGTCCCCTCTATCTATAGGGGCGTTTTAGCATATTTGGGAACATGTGAAAAAAATCATCAATTTTTGCCCAAAATGGCAAGTGCCAAGGGGGTTAGCTAATTGTTTTTTTGCAAAAATTTCTCAATTTCTCCCTTTGCTTATTTGGGCTAAAAGAACATCCCTGCACATCATTAGCTCGGTCAAACCCGGATTAGTGTCTTTGAAGGGCGTTTTGGCATATTTGTGAAATTGTGGAAATTCATAAAATTTTGACCGAAATGGCAAGGGGTTAGCTCATCGTTTTTGCCCATTGGCTCATTATCATTGTATCTTGTAATTATGTATGCTTACATGCATTACAGTGCTAGCCATTCACACCCTATTTCGCACCCCCTTTTCTCTCTCTCTCTCTCTCTCTCTCTCTCTCTCTTTATCTCCCGTTCATTATTTTCTTCCCTTAATACCTTTCATTTTCAATGCTATGTAGTCTTAAACATTCACCACTGGTGTATTATTATCAATGTATTGTTTGCACGATCATCATCACCATCATCATCACTATCATCATCACCATCATCATCACCATCATCATCACCATCATCATCATCACCATCATCATCACCATCATCATCACCATCATCATCACCATCATCATCACCATCATTACCATCATCATCACCATCATCATCATTACCATCATCATCACCATCATCATCACCATCATCACAATCATCATCACCATCATCATCACCATCATCATCACCATCATCATCATCACCATCATCATCACCATCATCATCACCATCATTACCATCATCATCACCATCATCATCATTACCATCATCATCATCATCACCATCATCATCACCATCATCACAATCATCATCACCATCATCATCACTGCCATCATCACCATCATCATCCTCACCATCATTGCCATCATCATCACCATCATCATCATCACCATCATCATCATCATCACCATCATCATCACAATCATCATCATTACCATCATCATTATCATCACCATCATCATCACCATCATCACAATCATCATCACCATCATCATTACCATCATCATCATCACCATCATCATCCTCACCATCATTGCCATCATCATCACCATCATCACCACCATCATCATCACCATCATCATCTTCATCACCATCATCATCACCATCATCATCATCACCATCATCATCACCATCATCATCACCATCATCATCACCATCATTACCATCATCATCACCATCATCATCATTACCATCATCATCATCATCACCATCATCATCACCATCATCACAATCATCATCACCATCATCATCACTGCCATCATCACCATCATCATCCTCACCATCATTGCCATCATCATCACCATCATCATCACCATCATCATCATCATCACCATCATCATCACCATCATCACAATCATCATCATTACCATCATCATCATCACCATCATCATCACCATCATCACAATCATCATCACCATCATCATCATTACCATCATCATCATCACCATCATAATCCTCACCATCATTGCCATCATCATCACCATCATCACCACCATCATCATCATCACCATCATCATCTTCATCACCATCATCATCACCATCATCACCATCATCATCACCATCATTATCATCATCTTCTTCATTATTCTATTCATACAAATTTCAAAACCTTGTTCTTCAAGCATGGTTATCATAATCTGATAATTTTCTCCTCATATAACGACTTTTAAACCAGAAAACAAGATAGGGTGAGAATAATGTGAACATTACAGGTAATATATAGATGATTAAATTTATTTTCAACAGCAATACAAATCGTAAAAAGTTACATCCGATATAAATATTCCATCATAAAGACAATACTATCATGAATGCACTTAAATTTGCATAGTTAAGTTGTTTCAACCGTACAGTAGCATGTACACTAAGAAGACTAAGGATTGTTCAACTTCCCATCTCCAAAATAAACCTTCAGCCAATGGACGGAATATATATATATATATATATATTGATACAAAATAATGCTTATCATATCTTAAACATGTCATCTTCTAACAATTAATTCCTCTTCCGTTCCCTCAAAGTTAACATACTTTTTTCGTGTTCCTCACTTGAAAAAAAGTAAATCTTTCAATGAATTACATTTCTCATGAAAGACGTTGTTGACAGATCAAAGGAGTGTGTGAAAAGTATGCCACCTTTGCAACAATATCACATTTCAAATTTTGCCCAGAGGACCAGGGGGCACATTTTTTTATTTCTACTACTGTACATGTGTAAATAGTTATTCACATGTAAGATATATATCAATATTAATTTTGACATGGGGTGTGCTTCCTGTGCCTGTCACTGAGTAAAATAGAAATTTCAATAATCATATCCACTTAACACAAAATCTAAAATTGTAAAATATGTCCAATATACATGAACTTTGGCAAGATAACATATCAAAGTAAAAAGAAAGTCCCATTAAAGAGTTTGATCACAAGATGCAACATAAATACTTCTAGAATTGAGCTTATACCTCTTAGATTATGCACAGAAAAATATATATTCACATTTTTGTACAACTAGTATCCATCTTAAAATAATGTAGTTGAATCTTTAAAATCCTGCTTTAAACAAACAATGCGACAGTTCAAAGCCAAGGCTACATGCCAGCATCATTATTGACTTTTAAATAAAAACTACACTGTATATCAAAAAGTGTCTGTTTAAGTGTTTATCAGCCTCATATATCTCCACATATAAGTCCCTGTTTTACTTCATCATAGAAGCAATATAACAGGTGCTATTTCAGATCAGTAGAATATAAATGCTTCCGTCTCCTTTCAAATGTCAAGGCAGAAAGTTCCTTGTCGAGCCATTGCTCGAAAGATTACAAATGCAAGACTTATTTACATAATTAACAATTTAATGATTCAACTTTTTTGATATAAACATATTTAGCTCACCACTAGCAATTATTTTGTTTATTCCAAGTTGGTCCATTAAACGTCAATTAAACATGTATATGCCGTGGATGTGAGAAAAATTGAGTGGCAGTTCAAATGTTAGCCTCGTTGCGATAATAAAGACAATGACCACAACACTTAAAGATAAAGTTGAGTTCTGGTCATACAATCGCATTTTGAAAGAAATGGTTGATCACCTAGCATAATTGGTGTGTGCTGCAAGGTTCTGGAATCATCAAAATGAGACGAAATTTGGCCCCGTCTTGGTAAAGTTACAAGTACTGTACACAGAAAGGTGTAATATGGGACTACACGAACATGTGGCATAAAAGTCTGTCCGATTTTCATGCTGTTACATGCCATGTGTAGAATATTAAGGCACTTGAAGAGCCATGCTTTTCAGGGAACATTTGTTGTCTGATGTTCTTCCACACTTGAATAATAACAATCATAATGCTCACAAATTATTTTCCACCTCTTCCCAGAACTCGACCTTCTCTTTAAAGTATTGGAAGTCTGATCTGAATCACGTCCACAGATTGAAGCACCCTTCGTGAAGCATTCAACTCCATCATTAGACAGTCGTCACAAATAAATAAAAACCATGTCCTACATATTTGTGCCTATGGGAGGGAGTGTCGGCATCGTATCGTGTCTGAGCCCGGCACTTGGTATGTCCGTCGCAAAAATCCTGTCCTCTTGAGGTCCTCCGATCTTTCCCGAGATCGGCTTCAGCGGTCGATGTTGACCGGGAAATCGCGCGTCCCTGACGGCCCGGTTGGGTTCGGACGTGAGGTCATGCATCATGATGTTGTGCATACCCTTGCTGCCCCGCCCTGGACGATCGGGTCTCGGTCTTGTAGGGGTATCCTTAACATCTGGTTGTGTGGTCGGGTGAAATGCATCCCATACAAAGTTTCCATGGAGCTGGTTAGAAGAAAAAAGAATACCATGATTAAATTTCCATTCTTACAACTATGCAAAATGATATCGATTGATCATATTAAAAGAAATCTGTACAGATTCTACTTTTAAACATATAGAAATAAAACTTGATACACTCATCGTAAAAAAGTTTTAAGCGTTAAACATTCCTCATATTCTCAATTTCAAATTTAATTTAATGACACTTGATAAAAGATAATTAGACACAGACTACATTATCTGCTTAGAGCCTTAAAGGTAAAGACCAGTATTGGAAACGCCCCAATTTCCAAAAATGAAATGGAAGCTCTTATTACCAATCATGTGAAAGGATATGTTTTGACTAATACATGATGATAAAAAATTTGCCGGGAAACCGCCTACTAATTCATATATTTGGTAAATTTGTTTCTCTCATGGTCTGTGAGAGATATAGGGTAGTCCCATATACATCTTTCTCTGTATAGTGCTTGTAACTTTACGAAGAATGGGCCGAATTTCTTATCATTTTGATGATTCCAGAACCTTGCAGATGCTAGATGCTAGATGATCAACCTTTTCTGATCGATTCCACAACGTTTCTTTCACAATGCAATCGCATGACCATAACTGGTCTTTACCTTTAAGCTCATTTACCCGTAATCTTTTACAAAGAGCTAAAACCCTTCCGGATCCCAATAGATGATATGTCTTGTTTACATAGAAGCTTTTAAATTCTCATTCTTTGAACAAACACCAAACATACTACAAGTTTATAGACCTACAAATGTACACAGCCAGTCTGTCACAATCTTTAATTGTTATCAGATTATCCTCTTAGACATACCTTGCCCCTCTGTTGAAGATTGTTGTCTTTACGGCTATCATAGCCATGCTGATAAGAGATGCGCTCCATCAGAAGTCTGGGCCCGGTTGGGTTCGCTAATTGAGTAACTGGAACTGAAAAAGAAAACAATTTGGTTTGATTAAATTTATTTATTATCAACAAAACTATCAATGACAAACATACAGTATATGAATATTTTGTATGTAATATTGAATCACAGACAAAATCTACACGTATATATTTGCTGCTGCTACATTGTATATCATTGTTTGAGTTCCCATTTTATTCCTTGTTTAATTTACCTTGGGTTGATTATGATAGAATAAGAACAATATTATACAATCTCTGTTCAGATTTCTGAGTAAAACTGATGTAAAAATTTCACCCGAATATCCTTTGTAGCCCAGCTATTTGTGCCAAGATATCAACCAACAGTTATGTCATTTGCAGGTCTCTGTCATTTGTCCATTATGAAAGGCAAACAAGAAGACACTGGGGCAGGTCTAGAATTTTGTAGGGGGCGGGGGCACAAAGCAAGAAAATCTGAAATGTAAAAATTAGAAATATGATGTGCCCATAAGAAATGCCAGATTGGGTTTTAAATTAAAGGGGGAGGAGGGAGAAGGGAGGGGTGGGAATAAATGCTGATGACTTACCTGGCCCTTGAGCAGGTACTGTGTGAGGGTTACTGCCATGTCTGGTCTGCCCCTTTGGTCTATCCTTATACGTCTTAAAGTCACTCCTATTGATCGTGTCCTTGGTATAGACTGGGTTCTTGTTGGTGTTGGGGTTCTCTCTTGAAGGCCACCAGTGAGCATCGTTGGGGTTGACCTTGGTCTTCACATCGCAGATGGGGTCATGGAGGGTCGCGACGTCCTGCATGAGAAAGCCGACACCCTCCGGATGGGGATTGTTGTGCCTGGTGGCAGAAGTTAGCCTGGGTTTTGGCTGGGAAGGGTGCTTCTCTCCCTTGAAGGTTCTAGCATAGTGGGAACCATTGTACATGGTGCGTGTGTTCTTCTCATCGTAGTTTCCAAAGACTCGATTTGTCAAATCTAGGCTGTAAAGAACAGATGGATCATAAAAAGGGTTTAATAACTTGCTGACCTTCTGACTTAGAATCTTGACAAATGTTCAGATTAATTCTACAAACTACACCTTCTCTAAACAGAATAGACAGGCTCTTTCAAAGATGGGTCTCTTTTTCTTGTGTAATATACTCAGATACCAAGTGTCCTGTTTAGAATATCTAGCTCTAAACTTATTGTAAAAAACAAATACAACAACAACAACTACAATATTTATAGAGACACAGGTTTGTCAACAATAACAGCTGACAAAACTCAGTCAACATGGACAACTTTTTAATCATTGCAAATAAATTTGTTGATAAAAATAAAAGTTACATTTGATTTAGAATGAAAGGATATGGTTTTTATTTGTAAAAGAGAACACGTACTGGGAGTAAGATCGGCGAAATTCCATTATACACACACAGCAAATTGTAATTGAGAGCCATTTCAACTTCATGAAACTTCATGATTTCAATAAAACCTTGACTTTGAAGGAGGCAGATCGATGAACACAGCCTCACAAATGTGGTTACAATTTATACAAACGTTAGGTTTAGAAGAAGAAAAATATAAACAACTTACCCAGGTGGTGGGGCTTTTTCTGCCCTTCCCCTCGTCTGCATCGGTGGCATGTACGTAGTCATGATTTCTAGTTGATTTTCAAGTAAATTTGAGTTAATAATCCGTCCAACAACTCGTTACGCAGTTGTATCAGCTGAAGGTATACACAGCGCAGTGAGCTTCAATCCAGCGGTACGCGGTCTCTATACAGCCCATATACCGAGAGTGATTGCGTTGACTACTGGAGATGCACTCCCGTTGACTACCACTTCAAATGACGTGGGCACAGTACATGCATTCAACTGTCGCCAAGCGATTGTCAACAATGCCTCAATCGATATAGTCTTTGTCCAAGTCTCCATTGTTGCGCGCTTTGCCATTGTGCATGATACAAGAGTAAAAATAGACGAATACAAAGAAAGAAAGAAAGAAGAAAAACAAAACAAAACATAAATCAATCAATAGGAATTTGGGGAGGTCAAGCAAATAAGGAAATAAGCATATTAACAAAATACGTGATTGATTTCTACGAAAAAAGGCTTCATCATAGAAAGGGCTAAGCGACCCCCCCCCCCAAGAAAAAATAATATGAAGCATACTGAAACAGAATTCAACCGCTTGAGTAAAATATCTAAAAATGTTAAAATTAGTATTTTATAACGGAAAGGGGTAAAAGAAATGTGGAATTGAAAATGAATATTTTTTTCCGCAGTAATAATGAGGCCTACCGGCCGTACATAAAATTAAAAAAAAAAAAAAACACTACGTAAAAGATCATAGCCATAGGTCTATGGGACGGAGGGAGGGCAAGGCGGAGGCAATTAACAGCAGAGACTCTAACAGAGGTCGCCCTTCCGGAGCGGGATGGTGAAGGGGCGTCAGTTCCCCCACTTTTCAGATATCTCCAAAGTAGACAATTTTTACTAAGGAAGGTCCCTTTTTATAGGTGGGTCTTAAGTATGGCTTTGAAAGATTGGAGGTTGGTGTTACGTAGATTACAATAAATTGGCCATTTTAATATAATTTAAAGAAACATAAGGTTCAAGACAAAATAAAAATAACGTCAAGATTTCCTAGCTCGATCTGCACGAGATACTCAGCCAAATCCAATTCGAACATGAAAAACATTAATCTCACTATGAAGCTCTCTACTATTCCCAAGCAGAAGAAATTCTGTCTTGTTCAAAATGACCCTCGATCATCCATTCCATTACAATCATAAGGGCCCTGTCTAATAACAAGTTGCGATTGATCCAAATCAATCGAAAATCCTCTAATCAATCACTAGTTTACAGTCTCCTATCTCGTATGTAGGTCTACATAGTTGCGATTGATATCAATCTTGCTTTTGATTATAGCACAGGTCATGTTCAAATAATGTAATGTAGTCTTTGTCAAACTGCGGGTAGAAGATAATCATGACCAAAATTATTAGGGGATGAAGAATAATAATAGGATAAGGTGAAATATCATGCCTCAAAATCCTACATTTCATTGTCTTGATTTACTGCATATAAAAATAGTTCACGTCATAATATCTTTTGGTCTTCGTGGTTTGACTTAATCTGCATACTGATTCTGTCTGTCATTATTGGCCGTGAGAGCTAACCTCAACTCATTGAGTGCCCAAAGTTGTATACCGCCATCACTCGGCAGTGATTGGACACGGGTCATTGCATGCTCAATATCTTGTCATTATAGGCCATGTATTGAAGGGACTGACTTTTCTCAATACCTTCTTCAAAGTTTGTTTGTTTGTTAGTTTTTATTTCTGCGTTTTCAAAATAGAACATAATCATATACATAAAGTAACAATTTTTTCTTCATTTTACATAATTATACATTTTTAGGTACATTAAATAAGATGCATACAAACACAAATATTTGTCAATGAAATCAAAATAGATATTTACAGAAGACGCAGGTGAAGATGTATTACCTCAAAACATTGATGTATATCATTACTTTTAAAATGCTAGGCTTCCTGGGAAAAGTTTCAGTTGTTTTAAAGAAATTATTTGGCTTGCACCCAGTAAATAAAGATCGTGTGCTAATTCTTGTAATTAAAAAACAAATCAGAAAAATTCTTGGAACCAGCAGGATTTAAACCTGTCATCTACTGCTTGCCGGGCAGTGACAATTATTTATTTGTTCCCAGTTCATCGTGACTGTGCCATGGACCAATTATGGCCTTGTGGTAGAGTCGCTGCCCGGCAAGCATTTTTTAAATAAATCAAAGGGTATCTATATTAATTCAAGAGGGGGAAAAAATATTTTTAATCATATTCATTGAAAAGAGGAATATAAGTGGAAAGCATTCTACACGAGAGATGTAATATTGAGTTGTCATTTCTCGTTTTCAAAACCTCACTCGCAAATAAAACAAAAACTGGACTGAAAGCATGCAATTATGTTCCTACAAGATTTGCTTGAATGAAATGCATTATATTTTTCCTAATGATCTTTATTATTTTATTTTATTTTATGTTTCCAAGCTGACGTTTGTATAAAAGTGTTCATTCCTGTTTTTTTGTTTTTGTTTTTTTTAAATCCTAATTACTTTGGATTTCCATTATCACATTATACCATTAATATGGGGTTTTTGTTTCAGCAAAATTGTATCACATATTGTTCATTAAATAAGCAATAGTCATATTGATTTAATGCTACGTTATTCTAGTAAAACACGATGTATCTGAAAACAATGTTTATGGGTAGGGATTTTGTTGAATAGTTGAAGAAAAAAAGCAAAATGACAAAATATGAACCGCTTGTCCCGAAGGGGTTATGTCAGAACACGCATCTCACCACCCCCCTCCCCCATCTCTCTCTCTCTCTCTCTCACACCCTCCCCCTACCCCCCCCCCCCCCTCCCCCTCTCTCTCTCTCTCTCTCTCTCTCTCTCTTCCTCTCCCTCCCCCCTCTCTCTCTCTCTTTCTCTCTCTCTCTTTCTTTCTCTCTCGCCTCCCTCCCTCTCTCTCTCTCTCTCTCTCTCTCTCTCTTCCTCTCTCTCTCTTTCTCTCTTCTTCTCGTACTCACGAGTTTCCACCAAGCTTAATAATGGGATTTTAATAGTGAAGAAGAATATAAAACGTGCTAACACAGGATTTGTGTACTTGCTTTTCAATATCCTCTAGAAATTGTACCATCTTTGGAACAAACTCGGGTTCTTTGAACAAAATGCTTTAGAATAATGAATGAAACCTTCCCCGTGTGCTCACACACTCACGCACACACACACACACACACACACACACACACGCACACGCACACCTGCACTCCTCTTGCGTTGGATGAGCCCATGACGAAAAAAAAAGTAAAATCCCGCTTCTTTTACTTATTGCGGGATTATTGAATATTGAATGGATCAAGAAAATAACAAAAATAATATACCTTTCAGATCCTCCCGCCCACCTATACCTCAAACAAAGATACACGGGGCGAATATCTGGGGCACAATGAAGTGGGCCAGCTCAGCTGTAATTTCAACTGAGTTGTGGCAGCAGTGTGTTCTCTTGTATACGCCGCACTTTTCACCTTCAAGTTTTGAAAGCTCCATCGCGACTCTTTCGTGTTCTTAACCTTGCGTTATCAAGCCGTCTGCTTAAAGCCCCACTGTACTACTTGTAGCTACTTGCTCTCTCTAGGTAGAAAACAATGCCTAATCGGTGCTTGTTGGTCCCCCAAGATCCTCTTTTCCTTATGTTAATTGGGAGCTGAGTTGATGAGATAGCCCCCCTGTCAGCGACCTTGTTGGTTGGTCTAACTCCCCTGGCCAAACTAGTACAGACGGGCTTTAAACACTTTTATTATGATTAAAAAACTGATCTCAAAATCACTAAGCTGTGATTTTTTAATTTTTTTTATCAATGTGGTTTAGCGTGGATACAGCCATTTAGAGGGCGCTATCATCATTTAGGAGACCAGTATTCCTCTGTAAAAGAAATACGAATTAACAACGCCTATGGTTTCGAGGGAGGATGCGGGAGAGGTTCCTACTATCAATCCTGTCTATTAAGGCTACCCAAGGGAAACAGTAATAGTAGCCAATGTCGACAGATGGCCTTTCTAGACAGGTTCTACAACACAAATTTTGTTTTATCTCAAGAGAGACAAGGTGCACGGCCAAGATAGAGAGGTGGCCACTCAGACATGTTTGAATATAATCATCCCCCTCCCCATCATCCTTCCCCTTTCTTTTGTATCATTTCATCTCTTTACTCTTTTAAAAATAAAAAGTACTTTTATTTGAATCTTGGTCTATATCACAATGTTCAAGTTTAACATTTGATTTTCATGATTTATCCGTCATCGATAAGTATTGCGCTTTAAATGCCCGAGAATCATATTACGTATGAACTACACACGAATGCACTCAATAATTAAAGTCTTTAACATAGTTTCTGAAGGATTCTTCTAAAATCAAATTTTAATTTCAAAATCATTATCAATGTTTATCTGGAAAAACATACGATATTCAATTTTGTATTTAAAAAAAAGGGGGGAATTTTATTTGAATACATAAATATTTACCCCATATCCTTACACGTACTTATTAGTGCATGCGCGCTTGTGTGTGTGTGCGGGAGGGGTACAGATCACAAACCACGTTGAGATTCTATAGACATGCTTCCGAATAAATCAATTCAAGTCTATGCCAAAGCAAATCTGCCTCAATAAAACAAATTGAGATCGATTGAGATTGGAGTCCGACGAACAACCACCCGAAAAAAAATGCCTTGAGTCAGCAGAGCACTTTCAAAATTAAAAAGAAGAGATATAAAGCAAATATCTCGAAATTCATATCCACCCAAATGTCATCTATATCTGTGGCTGTGAGTAGGAGGCAACATTATTTATGACTCGGAGGAAGAGAATAGAACAAAGAGTTGATTCCCCCGAGACGACTGAGTCTGAAATTGATGTTCTACGATATAATAGACAGCAGTACTTTGGGAGAGAATGTATACAGCGAATAATGAAAGGCATTTGAATGAGTAAGGTTAGGTTTAATCAACAATTTTATAAGCGTATGAAAGGTATATTGTAAAATTAACTTTATCATATTCTGCATCATCTCTTGATATATACAATGTTAATGTGCATGAACGAGGAATTGATATGATGACTTTAACGATTTGCATAATTCGCATTGATGCTTAGGAATAGCCTAACATTCAAATGAAATGAACAAACGATTCTAATTACTATAAAATGCCATGAAATAATCACATTTTGTATTATACAATACTCTACAGGCATGCATAAAGATATTTTGAATGACAAAATAACTGATCACGATCA